TTAGAGCACTGGCCCTCAGACCGAAGGGTTGCAGGTTAGATTCCCAGTCAAGGGCATGTATCTGGGTTGCAGGTTCAATACCTGGCCCTGGTTTGGGTCGTGTGGGAGACAACCAATCCGTGTGTCTCTCTCCCATCAATGTTTCTCTCTCTCTCTCTCCCACTTCTACTCTATCTAAAATCAATGGAGAAAAATATCCTCAGGTGAGAATTAAAAACAAAATAATAATAATAATAATAATAATAATAATAATAAAGAAGAAGAAGAAGAAGAAGAAGGAGAAGGAGAAGGAGAAGGAGAAGGAGAAGGAGAAGGAGAAGGAGAAGGAGAAGAAGAAGGCCCTGTAAATGAATGGGCACAAGACTAATACAGACCCTTTACTAAAGAAGATATATAAATGACAAATTTGCACATGAAAAAAGGCTGAGCCTGGCTGGTGTGGCTCAGTGGATTGAGCATCCTCCCATAGAGAGATCCTGGTGTGATTTTAGTCAGGGCACATGCAGGGGTTGTGGGCTCAATCCCCAGTAGAGTGTGTGTGCAGGAGATGGCTAATTGATGTATCTCTCTCACATCAATGTTTCTATCTCTCTCTCCCTTCCTCTCTCTCAAAAAAATCAATAAAAACATTAAGAAAAAAAGAGAGGCTGAGTATCATTAGTCATTAAGGAAATGTTGGTTTTATTGAGGCACTGCCACTTCACACATATTGGAATGGCTAAAAACAATAATTAAAAAAAAAATCTGACAATATTGCCCTGGCCGGTTTGCTCAGTGGTTAGAGTGTCGGCCCGCAGATCAATGAGTTGGGGGTTTAATTCCAGTCAAGGGCATATACCTCAGTTGTGGTTCATCCCTGGCTCTGGTCGGGTCATGTGGGAGGCAACCAGTCGATGTGTCTCTCACATTGATGTTTCTCTAAGCATACAGAGCAACTAGAACTTTCATTCTTTCTGGGGAAAACTCAAAATGGTGTTGTGGGGATCAAGCCCACAACCCAGGCATGTGCCCTGATCAAGAATCAAACCTGGACCTCTCAGTCCATGGGATGATACTCAATCCACTGAGCCACACCAGCCAGGTGAGTTTTTTTTTTTTCCTTTATTGATTTTAGAGAGAGGGAGAGAGAAGGAGAGAGGGATAGAAACATCGATGAGAGCCCTGGCCGGTTTGGCTCAGCGGTTAGAGCGTCGGCCTGCGGTCCGGAGAGACCCGGGTTCGGTTCCCGCTAAGGGCATGTACCTTGGTTGCAGTTTGTCCCCGGCCCTGGTTGGTCGTGCGGGTGGCAGCCACTCGATGTGTCCCTTTCACATCGATGTTTCTCTCTCTCTTTCTCTCTCTCTCTCTCTCCCTCCTGCTCTGTCTGAACAAAGAAAAAATGGGGCCCACAACCTGGGCATGTGCCCTGACCGGGAATCAAACCGGCAATCTCTTAGTGCATGGGTTGATGCACAGCCACTCAGCCACACCGGCTGGGCGAGTTTGGGTTTTTTAATATAAAATTAGATGCACACTTGCCCGGCCAGTGTGGCTCAGTGATTAGGAGTCGACCCCTGCACCAACAGGTCGCCGGTTTGATTTATGGTCAGGGCACATGCCCAAGTTGTGGGCCCCATCTCCAGTCAGGGGCATGCAGGAGGCGGCCAGTTGATGTTCTTGCTCATCGATGTTTCTATCCCTCTCTCCCTCTCCCTTCCTCTCTCTAAAATCAATAACCCTGGCCTGTTTTGCTCAGTGGTTAAAGGGTTGGCTCACGGATGAATGAGTTGCGGGTTTGATTCCGGTCAAGAGCACGCATGTACCTCGGTTGTGGTTGTCCTCGGCCCTGGTTCGGGTTGTGCAGGAGGCAACCAGTTGATGTGTCTCTATCACATCGATGTTTCTCTCTGTCTCTCTCTCTCCCTCCTTCCCACTCTATCTAATGATAAATAGAAAAATATTCTTGGGTGAGGAATTAAAAAATAAATAAATAAAATAAATGAAAAAAAAATTAGATGTACACAGCTCAGCAATTCCACTCCTAAATATTTACTTAGAGAAATAAAAGCATGTACATAAATGTTTATATTAGTTTATTTCACAATTGACAAAACGTAGAAACAATTTCAATGTCCTAAACTAGTGAATGAAATAACAAACTATAATACATCCATACAATGGGATACTACACAGCAATAAAGAACTAAATACTGATACATGTAACAACATGGATGACTTTCACATGAATTATTCTAAGTGAAAGTAGTCAGACTCAAAAGCTACATATTTTTTTATTTCCTTTATATGACTTTCTGGGGGGAAAAAACTACAGGTACAGAAAACAGATCAATGGATGCCATGGTTGGGAGGAGAGGTTGATTATAAAAGATGGAATGAGGGAATATTTTGGGGTAAATAGGTAATTTAGATTATAATGGCGGTAGTTACACAAGTGTGTGCATTTGACTCATAGAACTGAACACCAAAAGGAATGAATGTAAAAAAAAAACAAAAAAAAAAACACCTGTTTAAAAACAAAAACCCAATACTCACCCTCCACCATCAATACCATCATGAAAGCCATTGATTTCAGGTTCAAATAAATTACTGCTTTTCCTTATTAAAAAAAAGGTAGAATATTTTGTACACTGCTCTGTTCCATGAGCACTTTCTTTTAAATAGAGAATTATTTCAAGCATATAGAAAAACAGAGGTTTTTATAACAGACACCTAAGTACCTTTCACCAACGTTATCAAATCTTCACATTTTGCCATATTTTCTTAAATTTTTTTCAAGAAATAAAATATCAGAGATATGTTTTAATCCCTGTATTCCCTCCTTTCACCCATTCCTTTTCCTCTCTCTCTTCAGAAGTAATTGCTTGCCTGAAGGTTTTATTTCCACACAATTTTTTTTTTTTTTTTTTTTGCATTTTTGATCTTCAGATAGAGCGGGAAGGAGAGAGGGAGGAGGAGAGAGAGACACACATCAAGTGGCTGCCACCCAAACAACTCCAACCGGGGCCCGGGACAAACTGCAACCAAGGTACGTGCCCTTAGCGGGAACCCAACCCAAGACCTCGCTAGTCCGCAGGTCGACACTGACTGCTGAGCCAAACTGGCCAGGGTACTTTTTTTTTTTTTACTGTGTATGTATGAATCCTTAAATAGTATATAGTGTTGTCTATCATATTTAACATTTTTATATACATGGTATCAAGCTGTACATAACTTTTTGCAGCTTTTCTCAACATTTTGTTTTAGTCATGCTGATACCTATAGCTTTGGTTTATTCACTTTAACTGTTTTGTAGTATTTTATATTATGAATATATCACAGCTGATTTGCTCATACTCCAGTAGATGGATATTTAGATTGTCTTTATTATCATTATTTTTGCTATTTCAAATGGTGCTACAATTAACATCCTTATTTCTGTAGCCCGTATCTATGTTCATTGTTGAAAACTTGGAAGCTTAAAAAAAGAGAAAGATGAAAACGAATATTATCCATCATGTTATTGTTTATTGAGCATTTAACATGTATCATTTATAGTGTTGGGCACTTTATGTGCATTAACTTTAATTCTCACACCAAGCTCTATATTAGGTACTATTATGTTTGCTATTATACAAGGAGGAAGCTGAATTTTAACAAGTTTAAATAACTTAGCCGAGGGCTGGCTCACAGATAGGTAGTGGCAGAACAGGTTTCTGTTGCCAAAGCCTCTGCTCATAACATTATGCTCCAACAGTGTCCATATACCCTAAATCCAGAAATAATAATGGTTAGAAATAGTCTTTCCTGTTAATTGGTCTCCCAGAACACAAGAGAGGCCTGGCCCAGGCCACTTTCCATTTAATAAATTATACTGGGAGTATAATATACATGAAGAAAAATATGGATAAGTGTAGAAAAATATTCACATTCCAAGTGATGAATTTCCACAACTGAATGTATCCATATGGACGAAAAAGGGGCTCTAATAAGTCTAACTGAGAGTAACCTCACAGGATGATCTGATCATAAATTCCTAACTGGGCAGGTCATTAAGGGTATCATCAGGCCTTTCACTTCCCTAAAGATTATCTTTGCCTTATGCAAGCCCTGCCCATTGTTTTTGTGCATCTAGGTTAATATACCTTTGAAATGCCTCTTTTTCAGACCCTTGGGAAGCATAACCATCCTCAAGAGAGCACACAAACCTGGGCCACATAGCTCAGTTGGTTAGAGCACTGCCCTGATAGGCCAAGGTTGCAGGTTTGATCCCCAGTCGGGGTACATATAAGACTCAACCAATGAATGCATAAATAAGTGGAACAACAAATAAATGTTTCTCTCAAATCAATAGATAAAATTAAAAATAAATAAATAAAAGACAGCTCATAATCTTATTAACTACTCCCTAATCCAATCATAGATACTTCCCTGTCTTGCTTTCTCCTGGAGGCCTGAAACTAGTAAGACTTGGCGAGAGATGTTGGTGGCTTCCTCTAGTGATGGTAGCAGAGAAAATGAAAAGAACGGAGATATTTAGGATGTATAATAATTGGATTTAATGGGGTGAAGCAGGCGTTAAGAATGATTCATGAGTTTCTTTTTTATGCACACAAATGATGGAATTTGCTTCTCAGTTTTTACACTTCAAATTGGCTGTCCATCGTTTTTTACTTTTGGGTAGATTATACTTGGAATTTGGCGGCAAGTTTTCTAAAACAGAACACTTACATCAGCTCCCACCTTAGACAGTGCCAGGAGCTCAGAATATTGAACTCTGGCCTTCCAAGTCCATAGACCTTTGTCCCCCTCAGTACCAGGAAAGGTGCCCAAATTCTGTTCCACGCGGGACTCCAGCGGGCAGCGCATGCCCAGAGAGGCCGCGTGGGGCGACCGCCGGAGAACAAACGGCGAGAAGTTTCTGCCATTTTGTCGGCCCAACACAGCTGGCCCAGGCTGGAGACTACAAGTTCCGTGAGCCCCCGCGGCGACGCTTCCTACTCCTCACTGTCCGGCTCGCTCCCTCTGTACCCCTCCCGGGGCCGAAGACTCTGGCTGCCGCTGGTGGCCGGCGGGCCAAGTAGGATTTCCGGGGGAAACTACTGTGGAGGCTAAGGAGGCGGTGGCGGCGACCCCGGTGAGTTCGGCGAGCAAGGAAAAGTGAGCGGGAAGTGTCTGGGGTCGGCTGCGGCCGCTTTTTAGGCTCGGGTCGCGCTCGTGGTTCCGTCAGGGGGTCGCGGTCCGGGGGAGGGAAATGGCTCGGGCCGCGGCAGCCTCGGGCGGCGGACGGGGCGGGCCGGGGCCGCCGCCTCCTCCTCCGCCCTCCCACAACGGTCCCGCGGTGGCTTCGCGTGCGGCGCGCCCCGCGCAGGCTCTCCCTCTCCGCCCCAGGCGACTTGGCGGGGCCCTTTTGTCTGGGCTGCTTTACGTCCCTTTGTGCCTGTTAGTGGAGGTGCCGCCTTGGGGGAGCCCCCGTGGCCAGTCCCTGACTGGGACCTGTCCCTGGGGATCCGGTTACGGTAACCGGATCAGGTCAAAGTCCATTTTTCAAAACTGTCCGGCTTCATACCTCTGCATTCCAGCTGGGCAGAGCGGAAGCTTCGGAGCCAGGCAGAGGCCGACAGGGTTTCTGTAGAAAAGCTCCAGGTTATTGTCTAACTCTTAAACGTCACTCCCGGGGAAACTGGGAAGGGAGTGCGATGTCTGGGGCGCAGCTGTGATCGGGGAACCGAAGAACCAATGCGGATGGGCTCCATGGAGTACACCTCTGGACTGTCGGGAGGAAGTGATTTATAGTTTCGAGCAGCCTTTTCATTCATTGCATGCAGAAAAGGACCACAGTACTTCAGTCTCCCAGTTCCTCGCCCCCCAAATGTTTTTATTTCTTCTGCTTAAAATGTTGAAAGAAAACGTCCATTACTAGAAGGGGTCTACTTTTTAGAGAAAACAGAAACTTAGTGGTTTATAGAGGGAAAAAAAGGACTGTTTCACTAAGTAATAGGAATGAAGCCAGTTTGCGAGTACTACATCCTTACTGTCACCGGTGAATCTTGTGGATTTGATCAAACTTTGTTAGATAATGGTAACTTTATGCATGTCCCGTTGGAAGACTGAATTGCTAGATATTCAGCTTAAGATAATGCTTTATAAACGCCATTGCAGATACTCCTTTTCTTTAAAAAAATTTTTTTTATTGATTTTAGAGGGAGAGGAGAGAGACAGAAACATCAGTGAGAGAGAACATCAATTGGCCACCTCCTGCATGCCCCCCACTGGGGATTTGGCCCACAACCTGGGCATGTGCCCTGACCTCCTGGTGCACAGGTCCACGCTCAACCACTGAGCCGCACCAATCCGTGCAGATACTCCTTTTGAAAAAGATTTAATATTTCAAGTCTCTGAATTGAGCACAACCAGGACTCCTTTACAGGAATCAGGGGAGTTTATTGAAGTTATATAGGTTAAATTCCCACCCTAGCCATGTAGGCAAACAAAACCCTTTGTGCTTTATTACTTTCATATCTCATAATGGAAATGATTTACTCTGAGTATCCCAGATTGTGTTAATAATATTGTTTTTAATGCAGTTGTTCTTCATTTTTTAATCCAGCAATGAGTGGGAATTGTTTGTGTTTTCCTGGTTATACTTTGAAGAAGCATCCACAGAATTGTTCTAGAATTAAAAAAATAATCTGCTATCTGTTTCTTCAAACATGCCAGTGCTGTTATTTCTTTTTAAAACAGCTTATTATTATTATTATTTTATTGATTTATTTTAGGGAGAGAGGAACACTGATTTGTTATTTCTCTTATTTATGCATTGGTTGATTCTTGTATGGGCCCTGATCAGGATCGAACCAGCAACCTTGGTGTATGGAGACTACATCCTAACCAATTGACCTACCTGGCCAGGGCCTCATATACATTTTGTAATTTCATTTTCACTATAATCCTGTGAGGTGGTGGTTATCTCATTTTACAGCTCACAGATGTTAAATTTACAGCCTCTAAAGTGTTCTGTGACTTAAGGTCACAGAGTTCACCTAGATAGGAAATAGTAGAGTAAGCCATACTGCAAGCCCAGTGCTCTTTCCATTTACCACACACTTATTGCAATTATACATCATACCAATACGAGTACCTGTGATTCACTGAAATTTAAATATTGATGAAAATATTTTGGATTCAGAGCAAACTGATTTATAAGGAACTGGAGTTTCTAGAATTATAAACAATGTTATACTGAACCATAAATCATACTGAATATTGGTGCCATTGCCTTGTCTTATGGTATGCTGTGATTACTTAGTACCTAGCCAGAATGGCAATTTTATGGATCCCTAGGGGTGGGAAAGGGTTGTCAGTTTCTTACTAAAAGGTTTATTTACTAAAAGGTTTTGACAAATCGTTGTTTAAAGGTTTATTTAAGAAATATGTTGGGCCCTGGCCAGTTTGGCTCAGCGGTTAGAGAGTTGGCCTGTGGTCTGGAGAGACCTGGGTTCGGTTCCTGCTAAGGGCACGTACCTCGGTTGTAGTTTGTTTCCAGCCCTGGTTAGGTGCAACCACTCTATGTGTCCTTTTCATGTTGATGTTTCTCTCTCTCTCTCTCTCTCTCTCTCCCTCCCACTCTATCTGAACAAAATATTGAAAAATGTCCTCGGGTGAGGATTTAAAAAAAAAAAAAGAAATATGTTGGGAGTCCTGGCTGGTATGCTAAGTGGTTAGAGCACCATCTCAAGCACCAAAGGGTTACAGGTTGGATTTCCAGTGAAGGGCACGTACCTGGGGGTTGCAGGTTCGATCCCCAGCCCCTGTAAGGGTGCATGTGGGCGCCAACCAATTGATATGTGTGTGTGTGTCTGTCTCTCTTTCTCCCTCCCTTCCACTCTCTCCAAAAATTAATGGAAAAAATATCCTTGAGTGAGGATTAACAACAACAACAAAAAATATGTTGGAGAACATACTATATACAGCAGTTTTGCTGGAACTAACATTGAAGAACTGCAATTCAGATACTTTTCTAGCCAGAGTCAAGAATCAAGAAAATGTTTCCTTTAGTTTTGCTTTTAGTAAAAACTTTTAATCAGTTTCAAACCTGCAGTTTAAGTCTTGGATTTATGTCAGAACATGCCATGAATATGACATCAGAAATAGAAACCTACTTCACCTCCTGCACTTAAATTCTTTTTAGGTAAAATGCATAACATGCCAATGGAATTAAGTCAGTACAAGTAGTCTAGCCTTTCTAACTAGTAAAAACCTGTTTCAAATCTCTTGCTATGCCATCATAATATAGAAGGAATATATTTTTTAAATATATTGATGCGCCCAGCCATGGCTCAGTGGTTGAGGGTCGACCCATGCACCAAGAGGTTGCCAGTTTGATTCCCGGTCAGGGCACATGCCCAGGTTGTGGGCCAAATCCCCAGTGGGGGCATGTAGGAGGTGGCGGATCAGTGTTCTCTCTCATCCATGTTTTTGTCTCTCTCTCCCCTCCTCTCTCTCTAAAATCAATAAAGGGGGGAAATGTATTGATTGATTTTAGAGAGAGGAAGGGAGAAAGAAAGAGAAACATCGATTTGTTGTTCCACTTATTTATGCATTCATTGGTTGCTGCTTGTATGTGCCCTGACCGGGGATCAAACCCACAACTCAGGTATGTGCTGTAACTGGGAATCAGTCAGCAGCCTTTATGTGCACAGGGCTATGCTCAACCAACTGAGCCACTCAGGCTGGGCCATTATTATTATTATTTTAATGTTTATTTATTGATTTGAGAGAGAGAAAGATTGATGTGAGAGAGAAAGACACATGGCTGCCTCCCACACAACCCCAACTAGCTCTGGGGAACGAACTGCACCCGAGGTACGTGCCCTTGACCGGAATCAAACCCGTGACTCTTTGGTCTGCAGGCCTTTGCTCCAACCACTGAGCCAAACCGGCCAGGCCCATTGGTTGATTCTTGTATGTGACCTTACTGGGGATTGAACCCACAACCTTGACGTATTAGATGACACTCAAACCAGTGGAACTACCTGCCAGGGCAAGACCATTATTATTCTGTATTGTCACAGTTAACTGTCTTAATGGTAAGGATTCTGTCCTAGTCTACATCCTTACTGCTTAGCACACAGCTCCTGGTATTGCTTTGGAACTTTAAAATGTTTGTTGAGCTCTGGCCAGTGTGGCTAAGTTGGTTGAGTGTAGTCCCATGCACTGAAAAGTCACCAGTTCTGTTCCTGGTCAGGGCACATGCCCAGGTTGTGGGCCTGATCCCCAGTGGGGGGCATGCAGGAGGCGGCCAATCAATATTCTCTCTCATTGATGTTTCTATCTCTCTCTTCTTCTCCCTTCTTCTCTCTCTAAAACCAATAAATAAAAAAAATTTTTTTTTAAATCAATAAAAACAGCCTGGCCAGTATGGCTCAGTGGTTGAGCATCAACCCATGTACCAAGAGGTCACTGGTTTGATTCCTGGTTGCAATGTGACAACACTTACTGTGTGGTGTTAAATAGAGGTGTGTTATAATATGGGTAAGGAACTGAATTAATTTATTTCAGTAGACAGTGAAGGAAGGGATTACAGAGGAAATTATTTTGGAATTTGTTCTTGAGGGATGAATAAGAATTCATCAGTTAGACCAGTTACTATTAAGGTATTCCAGTCAGAAGGATCAGCTTGAGCATAGGAAAAGACATGTGAGAGTATAAGGTGTGTGTCTGGGGAAGAGTGAGTAAGTAGCCTGGTATGGCTAGAGGGTATCGCAGTTGGTTTTTAACATTTTTTTATTCAGATACTCCCTCTAGAAAAGTTGAGAAGAGCAATAGATTTTCAGCCCAGAAAAACTACAAATAAGCAAGCATGCATGTAATTTTAGAAAGTTGTGGAATACTTAGGGGTCTCTGGACCCCTGGGGTTGAGTTGCTGAAGAATTACAATGGCTGGTGAAAGAAAACATTGATGACTAGACGGTGAGAAGGACTCAGAATACTTTACTAAAAAGTTCAGGCTTTTGCCCTGGCTGATGTGGCTCTGTTGGTTGGAGTGTCTCCCATGCATCGAAGGGTCACGAGTTTGATTTCCAGTCAGGTCACATACCCAGGTGTGGGTTCAATCCCTGGTTAGGGCGTGTATGG